TACCTACAATAGAGTCACTTCAAAATAAAAGCATTTCTGTCTTGTAGCATTTTCTTAGCTCTATCTATTACAATAGAAGTTAGTTCCAAACTCAGTAGTGTAAGTACAGAAATTAAATTTCAAAGAGGGGGTAAGTTTTTTTTGGGACACCCTGTATAATTCAATTTTTTCAAGAAGCTATCCAAAAGACTATTTAAGAGTGAAGCGCTTTTCCTCCTGCTAGATGAAAATATCTGAAGAAAATGTTCACAAGCCAAAGATTATTTTTTCTGATGGTGATTTTGGTCTCTTAAAAATTCCTGAATAGATGTCTATGTTTCAATAAAAAAAAAAAGGTCCACATTAACAAGTATCGATTAGAAACACAAGCGATCATACTTATTCTAAGCTTTGAATATTTTCTTGACGTGAAATTTAATAAGCAAACAAAGATATGATACGTATACCTTTTTTATGTGTTACTACAACTAAAGTCACTACAATTATCAATTATATGTATTAATTAAACATTTTATTAAAATTAAAATTGGACGAATCCGTATTGATTTTTTAATTTTCGATTGAAGAGAACATTACTAAGACTAATTTCCTAAATTTCGAAAATTTAACTCTATCCAATTACTAGAGGTCACTAGAAACTGTATTCATCGTATCTGACCAATTCAATTGGTCTTCGTTGTTCTCTAATCATCTGGATCGAAAATTTCGTACTTAATCATTACTGTATTAAATATATGCTTTTTATTTCTATTCCTACAAGGTTCATTTTTAATTCTAACTTTTTTTAGATTATCTGTAGTTGGCAATATGGTTAAAATAAGTGCGTATGAATCTTGTTCTTTAAATTTATATCTTTTTTAAAAATATTTAGACAAAAAAAGTAAACGAGTCTCCTGTGCACATCGATATAGTATAGCCAAGAAAGTTCGTGCTCATAATAAAAAGATGCGTAAAGAAGCACGAAAACATCCTGAGCATAAAAGTAATTATTAGCTAAATATTCTGAATTCTTTATTTTAATTTTTTAATTTTAAATAATTAGAAAAAAAGTCAAAAGATATAAAAATACCAAAACTAGCTCCATTTAAAAACGAATTATTACAACAAGCTGAAGAAGCTAAAAAACAAGTTTGTTTGAGAAAAAATTAATCATCGAAAATCATTCTTATTCTACCTTGTTTTTAGTTAGAACAAGAACGACAATTAAAGAAACAACAACGTGCTTTAGCTCGTAAACAACAAAAAGCTGAACGACCTAAATCTTTAGAATCGATGATAAATGATGTTGAACGACGACAAGATGTATTTGATCATGAACAAATTTTAACAGTAAATTTTATTTACCTTGATTCGTATTTAATTATTTTCTATTTATTTAGAATGATCAAATGCATTTATCAACTGAAGTTGGTGAAGGAGATGAAAGATCTCGAAAAACATATTATCGAGAATTTAAAAAGGTTGTTGATGCATCAGATATCATCATTCAAGTACTTGATGCTCGTGATCCTCTTGGATGTCGATGTCCACAAGTTGAACAAGCTGTTTTAACATCAGGAAAAAATAAAAAACTCATCTTATTACTCAATAAAATCGGTATGAATTGTTTTAAATTCAATTAAGAGTTTATGTTTATTTTATTAGATCTTATTCCACGTGATAATCTCGATAAATGGTTAAAATATTTACGTAATGAATTTCCAACAATTGCTTTTCGTTCATCAACTCAAAATCAACGTGATCGATTAGTATGAATTGATATTTAATCAAAAACAATTTTTTGAATTTGTTGTTTTTTTTATTATCTAGGGTCATGTTAAAGCATCATTAAAAGCTTGTGATGAACATTTGCTAAAGTCATCAAATAAATGTATCGGTGCATCGACATTAATGAATCTTCTTTCGAATTATTGTCGCAAAAATGATATTAAAACAAGTATTACTGTTGGCATCGTTGGTAAAAGTTTCGCTAAAAAAAAAAAAAAAAATTATAAAAAGTTTTCTTTTAAAGGATTTCCAAATGTTGGGAAAAGTAGTGTAATTAATAGTCTTAAACGAAGTCAAGCATGTGAAACTGGATCAATGCCTGGAATAACTAAGTAAAATCATTTTTCATATGTTTAACTTTTATTGAAAATTTTTTTCAGACAAATGCAAACAGTTAAATTGGACAAATTAATTAAATTATTCGATAGTCCTGGTATTGTTATGTCGAAAGAAACGAATCCAGCTAGTCTTATTCTTCGTAATTGTGTTCGAGTAAGTTAAATAGAATGAAAGATTTTTAGTGAACGAAATTGATAAAGATCAATCAATGCAATAGTTAACTTTAGGATTGAAAAAGTTATTTCGTAATTTTTAAATACAAAGACTGCCAATATTCTTCTTTAGAAGAAGTATTCATGGAATTATGAAGTATGGATTAAAAAAAACTTCAAAATTGTTTTATGTTTGTACAAACTCTTACTAAAACTGTCCCATCTAGGCAGATTGTATTTACTCACCAATGCAGAAACATTGTCTTGTTTTTGCTTGGTCACTTAAAAAGAATCATTTATGTTCTATACTGTCAGACTTTGTTTGATCTTATATTTTGAATTGTAGCTTTCTAATTGCAACCAAAAATTAAACCAATTAATAGAAAATGATCACTTTTTGGAACGAGTAAAATTGCATAGCCTCATTTTTGTTTCGATCTTGTTTCTTCTGAACCATCAAGATTTACAAATACTAACTTCAAGTGTCTTCTCAACTGATTTCTAAGACATTTTTTTTTATTTCCTAAGTTTCACGCAAGCATACTATATATGTCAATTATATTGTATTTATACATGAAACACAACAGAAAATTTTATCAGACTTTTTTATTTTACATGATGAATTTGAATTATAATTAAATTTTGACATCGATTAAATTGTAAAAACCATTGCAGCTAATAGTTTTCAAGAGTTCAGACTGTATATACCCGAAAAGAGTCTTTTTCAATTTCTGATATAACCACAACACTATCAAGATAGTTTATAAACAGTTGTAACTCTTGTTTCTTAAGCTCAACAGATACGAAGTTCGATTTCAAAGTATATAAATAATAAAAAAGAATTAGACGCACGAGCATATACGAATAACATCCTATTCCTACATGCCCAAAATATTCTACTACCGTTTGTTTTACGTTATGCGATGAAAGTAATATATATATGTCATTTGTAATCATATTATCTAGATTGAAACAATTGAAAATCCAGTTCCAGCTATTGAATTGCTACTCAATCGATGTAGTAAAGATCAAGTAAGCGTCTTTTTTCTTTTGACAAACAAAAACTAGTCCGTTTTTTTTTCATATAGATGATGCTTCAATATAATCTAAGTGATTTTCAAGATGTTAATGAATTTCTTTCAAAAATGGCTTTGAAAATGGGTAGTTTGAAAAAAGGTGGAATACCCGATATACACAAAGCAGCACAACGAGTACTTTCTGATTGGACTAATGGTAAACTAACTTATTTTACGGAACCACCTGAACGTACAGGTGAAATAATCAGCACTGAACTTGTTACACAAATGAAAGAAGCATTTGATATTGATGGTTTATTGAAAAATGAAGATGAACAATTAAAAGATTTACATAATACTCCACTTACTGGTATATCTTTTCCAGCATCGATTCCAACACAAGCTGATATGGACTTAGACAAAGAAGAAACTATGTCCGAAGATGAAAATAATTCCATTGAAGAAATGAGTCAAGACGATGATGAAAATCATCAACCGACAACAAAAGATTCGAAAAAAGTATGTTTAAGAAAATAGATTTTATTGTTTTTTTTCATTTATTGAATTGAATTAAGGTTCGTTTTATGGTTCAAGCAAATGACAAAACAAAACGTTTATCAAAACAACAAGCAGCTGATTTAGTTGATAAAGAACATGATAATGAAGTTCGACGATCAATAAAACGATCAAATCTTGTTCGACAACAAGAATTTAAAAAAATTAAAAAGAATCAAAAGAGAACAGGTAATGAACGCTTTCCATTTCGTGAAAACATTTCAAATTCCTTCTCTGTTTTTTTTTTGTTTTAGAAAAATCCGTTTCGAATCTAGGCGATGCACTAGATTCAATTATTCGACTCACAACATCTAACAATTCAACTGATGATTCATATAATTTTCAAACAGATTTTGTTTAAAATTGTTTTTGTTTGTGTCGAAAAATAAAAAGAAAGAAAAATTAACTAGACATATCAGAAAAAAAGCCTTTATGTGAATTCTCTAGAGTTGATAGCATTGCAGAACTTAAAATTTCCACTATATTGTTCGTTACATTAATATCAACTTTACAAAGATCAAAGGTAATTCTTTGAAAAATAATGGTTTTTTCTTATGGATATTCTTCCATTTATGAAGATCAATCGTGGCAAATGATGTGTAAGAATTAAGTAGATACATACATATAATAAGTGTTTGTTTTAGCTGATGAACCACTTATATAGATAAATAGCCTGTCGATTTTATTATTTTCTTATGTTGGTGTTAATATTTTTCTTGTACAAAGAGTACTGAAGTAGTGCCTTTCTAATGATAAAATCAATCTATGATAGCATAATTATTACTTTGAGGAGGGGCTGCAGAATTCAGAATTTAAAAATTCAATAGGTAAACAGTGAATTAGCTCACTAAGGTAAATTCTCATTAGTGAATAAACTACTAAGCACCACACTAACCTATCAACCTTTCAAACAACAGACTTTTACTAAGAATTCAAAAATTACACCAGAATTTTGACAGAATTCTATTCGTAATAGCAGAAGGTAAACAAGATCAGCACAGATTAACACACACTCCTTGCCACTCTCCAATTCTAGTGAAGAATATAAAAGTATCAGCAGAATTTAAACAGAATTCTGTTACAACTAACAGAATACAAACTTTCTATAGGCATACTAGAATGGTATATCTGGGACAGCAAAGAAAAATTCTAATGAAACATTCAAAAATATCAGCAGAATTTAAATAGAATTCAGTTATGAGTAACAGAAGACAAAGTTTGAGTATGCATACTAGAAGTGTATATCTCTAAGAGAAAAGAAAAATCGCTATGATGAATTGAAAAAAATGAGTAGAACTTAAACAGAATTCTGTTAAGAGTAAGAGAAGATAAGCTTTGAATATGCATACTACAGGTGTATATGGCCAACAGGAAAGAACGATTCTAATGAAGAATTCTAACATATCAGAACAGAATTTTAAAATCTAATGAACATCAACACATATATACGTTATCTCTGATAACATAGAATTCTACACAGAAGTCCAACAGACCAGGACAGAATATGTTGTCTTTGATAACGTAGAATTCTAAACCGAATTTAAACAGACCAGAATGGAATAGATTGTCTTTGATAATACAGAATTCTAGCGAATTCTAGGCAGAATCTAAACAGACCAGAAAAGCATTGTACTATCCTTTGATCGCTGGCTCGTGTTAAATTTGTCTTGTGAAACATAGAATTCTATTGATGAATAAGAAGACTAAAACAGAATTCTAGTGTGTGATAATCAACTCGTTTTAAAAAATACATAAGTCTACAGAATTCTGAATTCTGCTGGGTAGGCATTCTGAAACTGTTGATCTGCTTTAATAGTTTCAACCAAGTGCAACAGTTTTAAGAAGTGTTATTCGATCAATATCGCTTGAACAAGAAGTTTCAGTACATGACTTCGACTCTATAAGTTAGAACTATTTGGAGACAATAATGAATCTTGAAATTTATTGCTAACAAACAACAGAAGATTGAATACTGTTGGAGTAGTTCATGTTACAAATGATCTGTAAATAGGACAGCAAAATCCAGTTGGATGAATAGCGCATAACTGCGTGCATACTAAATTCAATGCATGTGCTCTATCATTGTTAGTGAAAGAAACAGCTGATATCAGTACATTCTATAGTGTGAATAAGTATTCATGTCTTATAACATGCGTAAAACGCAGGAAAGTCAATAAAAAATATTTTCAAAATGTAAAACACAATAATTCTTAAGTTGATTACAATCATGCAAGAAAAAAAATCAATTTTTAATACACGTAAAATATGAGCATAAAATTATGTATAGAATCAAGTTCAATTAAAAAAAATTATCAAATATGCTTGTCGTATTTTTCTTGCATTATATATCTCATCCACTGTCTATGAAAAAACGTACAGATCCGATGATGAATTTAGTTATTTTTGTGATCATTCAACTCTAAATAATTTCAAATTCGTTTTATAGGTTTAATTTATGCAGTATCTATACAAGAAGGGTCTAAAACCGTTTATTATAATGTTAAAGAATGATGCAAGCAAATGAAGACTTTTGGATGAAACCGACCCTTAAAAAAAGAACATCGTCTAACTCTTCAAATGGTACAAAAATTTTAAAAATACAATCCTTTACAACGTAGTAATAAAGAAAAGCGTTCCATAGTAAATACAATTTATCTCCTTTGCTTCAAGATATTTTGATACGTCAGTAAACGAGCAGAGCTTTCTTTTGAAGTAAAATTCGCTGAAAATGGGATATTTTAACAAAAAATAATAATAGAAGATTGAATCATTTGGAGAATAATTTAGAAATTTCTTTATCTATGAGTCTAAAAAAATATCAATAGTTTATCATAATTTTCAGCAACATCTTTGTAAACTTTGAAATGTATTGATGATATCAACTATAGAATAAGGACAAAGAAAAGAATTTTTCGTTCGATTTGTCGAAGCACCATCCAGGGTATGCATGTAGAGCGATCTGTTCGATAGAAAAAGAAAAAGAAAAATACACTTATACAGTACAACGTATTTATGACTAGGCAATGGCTGTCAATGGTATTTTTACTTATGAAGATCTTTATGCAGGTAAATTTCAAGATTATCATCGTAGACTTATTCCTCAAGTATCATCTTCTTTCACATCGAATCAACATTCGCTTGTATTGAATATCATAACAACCACAACAACAACATCTGTTTCTACTTCACATTTTTCAAAATTGATTTCATCAACAGAAATAGAATCAAATATAAAACTAAATAAACTCACGGATGTTATTCCCTTTATCTATTTTTATTGGCTTCTTCTATTACTTGCTATTTTTCTAACATTTGCATTGCTAATTATTTTCATTTGTTATTGTCATAATTGTTTTAAGAATTATAGAACCCGCAGGTAAATTAAGAATTAGATGTTGTATATTTTATTGATTGAATTTATTGAAAAGAGAATCATTATCAAGCTTCTATCAATATCGAACAACAAATCAACGTGTAACCCCATGTGATAAGTATCAACGAACAGCATCATCAGTCCATTTTTTACTTACACCCCCATGCCCATCAAAATCATTAGAATGTCTTAATAATCAACTTCATCGACAAGATCTTGATATTACTGATTCTCCACAGATTGCACGTTTTGATAAGTATCGTAATGAGTCTTTAAGGTAATAATAAATTGAAAGTTCTTCTTTTAATATTATTCGTTTTTTTTCAAAATGAAGTACATTCGCAAGTTCCGCATCATATTTACCGTCCGTATTGCAAAGTCGTTTAAGTACTCGTTCAATGGATCCATCATTAAAAATGGAACAATTGTATGAATCACAAGTAACTAAAAACTTTTTCAACTGATATATAGAAAAATATATTTATTTGATTGTTTTATTAGCGTGTCAGCATGACAGTGGATGATGAACGCAACGAAGATTCATCAATTATTGATATCAATTAGGTGTTGTTACTTCTTTCATGAAAGATTTAGAAAACGATAGCTTTGTATATGTTTTCTTGTTGTTATTGTTAAAAATAAACAAAAAAAAAACATTGATAAACTCAAAAATAAATGAAAAATTGCTGTTGACATATTGCCATTGTTTAAACATCTTATCATCCGAACAAGATAATATAGGCCAAGTTGTTTCAAATAAAAACGATAGTTAACTGATATTGTGCAAGTAAGAATGAGTATTTGATGTTATAAATAGAAAACACAGTAGGATCTATGATAACTTCTTTTTTTTTTACAGTTGAAGTGTATTTGATTATCATTATAACATCATAGTTAGTCAATACGTTTGAGGATACCTACAATATAAAATCTACAGATATAATAATCTTAAAGCTACTGAAAAGGTTTTTTCATTTATCGTAGATCAAAGCAATAATAAATTACCATCTAACTTAATAGATAATTTATGCATGATAACAGGTAGTGCAAAAAGAAGATACAATTTGTTTTGATCTTCCCAAATTTATCAAAATCGAGTATGCAATTTAGATAACACTTGCAGAGTACAACATATCTACATCGGAAGAATTTTTTATTAATCATTCTATCTTATTCAAAAACATGAAATCAAAAGACTATAAGAAATTGCTGTGGCTCAATTTTTGTAATGGCTTGTCATGATTATAGCTTCAATAATTATTTTTCTGCTTCAATTAATATTTCTTCTATATTGTGACATTATTCACTGAAACAGTTTGACATGAATTTTATTGTGTTTACTTCCAAGCGGTTTATGCTCATGTCACTTACATTAGGCGACATCGACATAGCCAATGGCATATATATACAACTGATAGCTTCGAATATCCTGTTCTAGTGTTTTTTTTTTCTTTTTTAACTGAAAAATATCTATATTGTAATAAATCAACATTTGAGAATATGCAATTGTGGCAAAACTCGCTTCAATCTGAAAAGAGACATACCACAAATCAAGTGATCTTAATGTATTATAGCTCTTTTCATGGTCAGCTCTGTATCTTTACTTTATTTGTTTTTATTACATACATTGGGTTAATCTATCTTTGCAAGAAATATTCAAATTTCAGTCATGATTTTATAATAACACCATATGTTAGAATATTTTTAGAATTTATCATGTCTTTTTGTTTATTAATGTAATTTGTAAAATCTTTTATATTAAGAATATTGTTGAAAAGTATAAATCGTTAAGTCTGCTATCACAATTTAAATTCTGAATTTTGAAAGGGCAAGGGCAACGCAAATATGTATGTCAACCCAAAATCCTCGAAAAATAGTGAATTCTCAACTAATAAACAAAGTTAAAAAATTTTCAAAAGCTGTCTCTTGAATTTCTACAAAATTAAAAATTGAAATACCATGAAGTTAGTTGTATTTCAAACGAACACTAGTGAATGAAAGCAAAGTAGAAATCATGTCAACTGTAATTCTAACCCATTGTCCATATATATACATATATGATGATAACATACGCAGAATTTTTAGCATCAATATTAAATTTTCAGAAATACCATTTTAATTAGTGAATTTTATTTGTTGTAAAGCCATTTTAACTTTAGCACGAATTTAGCTATGTAATGAAAACGATTTTATGTTTTGTCCAACGCAAAAAAAAACATTTTTGAAAAATACGTTTATCGATGTCTCATATGTTTTTCTACTCCGGAAACAAGTTAACATAAAAGAAAGAGTAAGAATTCGTAACAAATATCAATTCATGAGATTTCTTAATTCAATTTGAATTCATATAGTGTGTCTGAATCAACATAATTGTAATAATTCATATATGGTGGAAAGTCAGCAGCTAAACATAAAAACCTTTTTGTGATTAGCTTTCATTAAACAATACATTTTCGAATAAATAATTTGTTTTTTGTTCTATTTTTTGGAAAATATTAATTGACGAAACCAAAAACAAGGATAAAGAAAAAAAAATTAAAAACAACGAATAATTCATTGTAGAATTCATTGAACGACTTTCATGACATCTTACATTAATTAAACGAAGAGAATCGTAATTTAAAAACAGAAATCATGAGCTTAACGATGACAATGAAAGTTTTAACTAGATTATTCGTTCATTTGTTACTATAGGTGTATCGACAATAGTTTCTGTACTTATTGTAAACTCTCTTTCTTGATTTTGTTAAATTTAATTTTTTTATCCATATGTTCTGCCTGTTGTACTTTATAATAAATCAGTAAAACTAATACGTATATATATATATATAATCCATGTTTATATTCATATACTTTTGAATTCAATCAGAAACATTGTGATTACTAAATGAACTAATATTCCATTAAATTTAAATCATAATCATAATCATAATCAAATGTTAAAAAATAAAGCATGTTAAGCTTTTTAATTTTATATACATAAATGACTAGAGATATCCAAGCTCACAAAAAAAAAATCAAGAAGTGACATTTGATGATGTGGCTGGCTCATTGGCCGTCGTAAGTCCCTGATTTTGAAGACAATGTAAACGTCGTTCGACAGCTTCACGATATTGTTGCAAAATTAATCGATCACAATCAGTCATTGCTTGTTGACTTAAACAATGAAATAAAACTTGAGCTTCAGTATATGGTTGAACACACTTAAAAAGAAAATTTCATTAATCTATTTCATACAAAAAATCAACAGAACATTTCTTACTTCTTGAGCTTTACCAAAAAATTCTAAACTAGCTGCATTTAAGCATAGTTCAATAGCATGTAAATAAAGTAATTTATCAGCAGTTAATGAAACACCTTTCATTTCATCACGTGATACAAGTTCTTCTTGTGTACTTAATTGTTTACACATAATTAAACAATATTTATATTTATTATTTAAATCACTAACGGCAGTTCTATTAAATAAAAACTTAGAATTATTTGTTAATTAAGAAAAATAATTTAATTACCGAACTATAGCTGTTGGCTGTAATCTTCCTGATTTTAGTGTATCACTAAAAACAACAAAAAAGAGCTATTCGAAATTCTAAAAGAATTAATTTTCGAAAAATATTGTTAATGTTATTCTATACTCTCATTGTTCAGATGTTTTCCATGATATTAACTTATTTTCATATTAGATCATTATATTTTGAGTCATTTTGATTACCTTTTTACTTCTGAATAGGCAAATGTAACTCTTAAGTTACCTGTCTGACAAACAGAGTCGTTGAAAAAGTTTTAATATTGAAGCAGCAATTTTTGCTATTTGATTATGTCAAAACTTCGTTTTCTACTATAAAAACCAAAGGAAAACAAACTGATTTTTATGCTAGAAATCACCAGAGATTGGAAAATACAAGAAATCAGTTTTTTCTCCTTTGATAAAAATTCAATAGAAAGGTTCAGAACTGTTTTTAGTATCGAAATCTTAAAGTTCGTCCAGCTGTAGAGAATGGTTTCTGAAAACCCTAAAGTCTTGGATGAAGTCTTTTGCGCTTTTCTTCGTGCAGACATCCAATAGGAATGATCTTGTAATATGCGAAATTTATTTTGTAAATTATATGGATGATCAAATGAGAAGAACTTACGAGGGAACCTTTTCAACTGTCCAATCTCTTTTGTGTTTGGACTTAAAGCAATAGATAGACCCCAGTGAGGTATGAAAAATCCTAAAAGATTAAATGCCCATAGGTCTTCTGTCCAAAGTTATAGGAATTTTACTGGAATTTTAGCCTATGTCATGGTATATACCCAAAAATCGAATGACAATATTTCGACCTGAGATTTTGCCCACAGACAGGTCTATTTATAAGTGAAATATTCTGAAAATTTCAGCTGAAAAGAACGTTTCCTTCCCGAGATATTGAAGTTCCAAAAATGACTCATACATTACAAAAAATGCTAGAATTTTCGGTTTTTTTGGACTTCAATATCTCGGGAAAGAAATGTTCTCTTCAGCTGAAATTTTCAGGATATTCCACTTATAAATAGACCTGTCTGTGAGCAAAATCTCAGGTCGAAATATTGTCATTCGACTTTTGGGCATATACCATGACATAGGCTAAAATTCCAGTAAAATTCCTATAACTTTGGACAGAAGGCCTATGGGCATTTAATCTTTTGGGGTTTTTCATACCTCACTGGAGTCTATCTATTGCCTTAAGTCCGAACTCAAAAAGGGATTGGGCAGTTGAAAAGGCTCCCTCGTTAGATTGCAGAGTTTTTTGTTCAGTCTGATCACAGTTAAAGACCTTTATTCAATGTCAATAGGAATAATTCACATCGCTAAGTAATCCTGTTTCACTCAAACACAACTATTCGGTAGATAATGTTGTCTTTGAGCTATCTCTTCTTGCTAGTAAAACTAGTGTAATGCATTACTGCCATCTCTTACTTTTCAAGGTATTTATATAATACTTCTATCTTCTTTAGATACTATTATTTAGCAATACATAGTTTAATCAATAATATTTACTAGATTTCTCCTGTCTTGTTTTTAGAACTAACAAGGGATGCGTTATTTATTTCATCCTATTCAAAAGAATTAGTTAACTTACCGAGCAAGACACAAAGCTGAACTAAGAAAATGCATTGCTTTAACATAAAGTGTTAATTGTTCAGCACGTTTATATAAATCATCAACATGACTAAGTCGATCCACTTTTGGTCGAACATTATTGTTAGTGTTCTTATTATTCAAACTTATTGATTCCGTTAATAAACTTGAACGAGAACTAGCTAAACTTAAAATATATTCAACTAATTGCAGAATAAATTGAAGTTTGCTAAGTGTATCATGATGTTCACTCTATATTAGTAAAAACAATTAGATTGGGAAGTATTAAAATTAAACTTACATTCATTAATGTGTCCTCAGTAATTTTTCGTGGTTCGTAATAATAACCTTCAGGTTTTGAATCACCAAAAATTGCAGTAACACGTTGATGATTTAGTTCTGGTGTTGTTGGTTGATCAGTATTTTTCGTAAAAATCTCGATATTATTTTCTTGCTCAAAAAGACGATCATGTGGATCTAAGAAAAATCAAAAAAATAAATAATACATTGTTCAAAATAAAATAGAAAATACATACTATCGATATCAATCAATTTTTTATGGGACTTAACTGTAGGTGTATCAAGATTTAATTTCGAATTAAGTTGTTGAGTAAGATTTGAATTAGAAACTGAATTTTGAATTGTTTTTGATGATTCCGGTGGGCTCTTTTTACGTGTTGCTGGTGATAAATTAAATGGATGTGCTGCAATAGCTGCTGTATCAATTGTAAATCGTACAGTTGGTGGACTAATTGAGTTGGCAAGATCAGAATTAGACGAAGCCATACTTGCTCGACGAAGACGATCTATGGATGCGCGTCTGTCTAATAAATAAAAAGAAGCTTGAGATATATTCTTTTACAAATGTATTCTTCTACCATCAGATGGACTACCAGTTGCTGTTTCACCGAAACTTTTAGCTCTATCTCTTGATTCTTGCATTTTTTCAAAATTATGAACTTGTGTTGGAACAGGTATTGGCTGAGTAACACCGGAAATTCGTGTTGGTTTAACTGAAGTAGTATTTTCAATGGCTGTTAATGCAAGATTATCTAAACGCGATGATGATGATGATGATGATGATGGTTCTGTTTGATTTCTTAAAATCACATATTATTTTATCGAAAGAAAAATAACTGCTTTATTTTAAATAAAAAAGGAATATGACTTACAAAGTAACAACAGGTTGTTGTTCTTGAATTATACGTTTATCTCGTGAAATCTGAGCAAATGATGTATGATTACCTAAAACTCCGTAATAAAAATAAATCATAATAAAATATAATTATTCATACCAGCAAGAAGAGTTTTTTCTGTAGTACCTTGTTCTGAAATAGGTGAAAATGTATCGATTTTAGTTGCAACTGGTACTGTTTGATTAACTGGACGCTTGACTAAAGATTTATTTGTATTTATTGGAGCACTAATATCAAGTGATGGTGACTGATTATTATTATTATTCTTTTTTGATTGTACTGTTGGTACTGTATTTGGTAGCATAACTGATTCATGTTCAGGAATTGTTTCAATTTGACGATTGAATTGTCGCGGATTCATCTCATTCTTAAGAGAACTATCAGGATTTTTTCTATTCAACAATGAATTTGACTTACAAGATTTTGTCCTTGAGACCATGTCCCGTCTCGTAATATTGATGAACTAATTACATTTAAATTTGATGTTTGTAGTATATTTACAGATTGACCTAACAAAATCATTTTTATTTAATTTAAGTCTATAAAGATTTTGTTTTGTTAATTTACTCTGTCTTAAAAATGGATGATTAAAAAAGTCTTCAAAATCAATACGTTCTTTTGGGTTCCGTTTTAATATTCGTCTTAGTAAATCTCCTAATTCTGGTGATGTTGTTGGAGGAATTCTAAAAAACAAAACATTCAAGTCAACAAAAGAAAAAAACAAAATCACAAAACTTACACAGGTGATAAATTAACATTTCGTTCATAATATTGTTTAAGTGCTTGTGGTGTTTGAGCTTGAAATGGAGCTTTACCTGTTAAACATTGATACATTATTGTACCAACCGACCATAAATCAGCTTTTCCATCATATTGTAATGATCGAATAACTTCAGGCGCCATATACATTGGAGAACCACATAATGTACCTGCCATAACACCATCAGATAGGAATCTTGCAAAACCAAAATCAGCTATTTTTAGTATTGCATCTTGTACACGTGGATTAGTTTTATCTGGATATGATAAAAGAATATTCTGAGGTTTTAAATCTCGATGAACCTTGAAAAAGAAGATCAAACAATAATAAAGAGATAAAATCTATTACATACAACATTCTGTTCATGACAAGCATGAATTGCAGCAGCTAAAAAAACATATTTCAAAATAATAGAAACAAAAAAAAGAAAAATGAAGACTGTTATACCTATTTGTCGAAAAAATATAGCAATTGTTTCTTCACTAAGTGTTTGTCTTGTCTGAAGATAATCAGCAAGATCACCGCCATTGCAATACTCAAATTAAAAAATAAAAAGTAAATAAATATTTAATACCAAATGATTAACTAACCTCCATAACAAGATAAACATTATTTTGAGATTCCTATTAACACGAAGAATAACAAAAAAAAACAAACTAACAAATAAAAAGCTTCATTTGAATTTTACTTTGCAATCGAGTAATGCAACTAGATTTTCATGTTTAAGTTTTGTTAATTCCTAAATTTTGACTATAGCTAAATAAAGATAATGAATTCAGATGTATTTACTTTAAGAATTTTAATTTCTTTTTCAAGTAAACTTTGGGATTTTGCCAAGTGTTTTTTTGTTATTTGTTTTATAGCAACAAGTTGTTCAGGATTCTTATTTTTTTTTAAATAAATGAAAATAAATAAGTAAGAAAAAAAAAAAAACTTTAATTTAACATTTACAGATCTCGAATGACCAAGAAATACAATAGCAAATGCACCATGTCCAATCAAATCTCGTTTGCTATACTGATAGTCACCGATTATTTCAGGCATTTTTTGTTTAATCTATTTGTAAAATATTAGTAATAACCAAAAAAAAAAACATAAATTATCATCTAGAAAAAAGAGAAAAAAAATTATGATTTACAATCATAAACTAAATAAAGGGCACTGTAATTTGAGTTCTTGTTCGCATATCTATCCACCTATTACTTCAACAACCATGTCTATACTTCTCTATCTATAGATACTTGTTAGTCTATCTAAAACATACGAGTGTATAATTATCCACCGCTTCGATAATTACTAGTTTTATGTGCCCCTGTGCGCGTATTCGCGTAGGATATCAAGAACACGATGCAATCAGACAGCAGCTGAATGTGTATTGCATAAATAGAGAAGAAAGAAAGAGGCGAGAAGAACGAATAAAAAAAAAATTTGAGATCATGTGACGATAGTTTGCATACAGATTTTTTTTTGGTGTTCTCTTCGTATTTAATAAAATTGCGATAGCAAAATGACGAAAGTTTACTATACTCATTCACATAGAATGACGAAGTTAAGTGGTACCGAGAGAATAGAAAAGAATTACGTAGCATATTAAGATTCAAACTGAACTTCGCTATGTACCATGTAGAATGATTTATAAAAATTTTTTAATTAATGCAACAAATGTTGAATACAACACTTATTGCTTTATTAATCTCTTGCTAAGTTGCAATATCGTAAAAATAAAATATAGTATGTCAAATATTCCGATAAGATGTAAGTGCATATGCATAATGTTTTGACGACTATACATTTCAAGGAGAAGAATAAAATGTGATACTTACTTAACAGGGATAGCAATAGACAAATATATATGTTTTTTTTTGTTTTGTATGTTGATGCATAAGCAAACAATCACTTGTAAGCGATCATACATTTCTTTTTGTTCTCCTATGCAATCACACTTACTACACGTGATTCAAACATGCCGTGCTCCTTTGTTAGATTCATTTACTAACTACTTAGGTTACAGATGAATATTATTTTTTTTGTTTGAATACCATCAGGTACATTTTTATCTCTGTTTAGTTTCAACACCAAAACAAACGTTTTTTTTTAGTTGCTATTTCACCTCATTTGTATACTATTTGTTTATGAATAATGTAAAAGAAAATTTTTATTTTTTCTTTTTCTTTTTCTTTTAATCTAAAAGTCAAGATAGAATTTTTATGTTACCGAAACAAAAAGAAACTATTATAAATGATCGCATAACAAGTTTAAGAAAAAAAAAGAATGTTTAGTCATTTAGACATAAATTCCCACCCATAAAAGGAGAAATAAACCACCATAACCAAGAAAAATTGACGCAATACTAGAAAAAAAAACATTATATATCATAGAATCAAAAAATATTCTTACAGAGCAATCAGAATTTCTTTTTTCCAATCACGTGTATATTTTGTACTCGTCACTTCATAAACAAAAAACCAAGCCATTAAGAAGACTCCAATACCTGTAACAAAAGAAAAATATTCCTAATTAATTTTGCTTTTAGTCGATTTCTTCATTACCTAAAAGTGCTATACTAAGTGTTGGAAAAGCATTTGGATTAACTGGACTAACATATCGACTCATTTGATCAACATTTAAACGTACCATTTTTAAAATGATCTAGAAAAAAAAAACTTTTTTTATCTCTATGGTTCTACTGAAAGACATATAGTGATAAGATGTCATAAAAAAACTATCTTGATTTTGCTAAATATTGTTTAGCAAAGTCAATTCCTTTTTGAATATTTGCATTAAGTTCTGGTTTAGCTTTTTCAATTAATTTTGTTTCATACTCAGATAATTTTCCTACACCAATACTTGTTTCCACTCCATTACGCTAAACATAAAAATTAATATAGAAAAAAAAGGAACAAACAAAAACACAAAAAAAATTAAACATACGCCAAGAAGAAGTGGTGTAGCGAAATATTTAAATTCTAGTTCTGGTGATGCTACATAACCACATTCAATAGTACCTGCTTTACCATTTAATGCGTCAAGAATTGAAAATGAAAATCTTGTAGCAGCATGTGCCATGGATAATGTTGCACTACCAGCACCAGCTTTAGCTTCTACAACTTCTGTTCCAGCATTTTGAATACGACTAGTTAAACTATCTAATTCTTGTTGTGAAAATGAAACTGGTGGTGATATTTGAGATAATAATGGAATAATTGTATTTCCTGAATGACCACCAATAATAGGAACAAAAACTCGTGATGAATCGAGACCCTTGAATAACAATAGATGAATACTTGAATTTTCAAGAGAAGCTTCTCAAACAAACTTTTGCTTCAGCAACAAATGTTGCAGCTCGAATAACATCTAATGTTGTCACACCGATGATTTTCTTTTCATCATATACATTATATGCTTTCATAACTTCAGCAGCAATCGGAACTGTTGAATTGACGGGATTAGTAATAATTGCAATAATAGCTTGTGAACAATTTTTTGCACATGCCGAAACAAGATCAGCAACAATTGTTGCATTTGTAATAAATAAATCATCGCGTGTCATACCTTCGAATAAAATATTCTTTTTTTTTTTGCTTTTCTTTGATCATTTAAAGAAAATTATTCACCAGGTTTTCTCGGTACACCAGCTGGAATAAGAACAAGATCCATGCCTTCTAGTGCATCAGCTAATTCATCTTTGCCGACATAAGCTTTAACTTTAACTGGTGTTTCAATATGACTAATATCAGCTCCAACACCTTTTGTATGTTGAATATCATAAAGAGATAAATCACTAATCATTGGACTCAATTTAAGTAATAAAGAAAGTGGTTGTCCAATGCCTCCACTAGCACCTAAGACAGCTACTTTTTTCTATCGAGATAATAAAAGAAATATTCAGATTATAAATTTAATTACTTTTGATAACATACAGTTTGAACTGATTGTGATAAATATGATGCATAACGCATAATTTTTGGCGTAACAGATGTAATGAAAGACATGAATAGTGTTATATTTTTGTTCATCTTTTAAGTTTTACAAGTAAAGCTTAGATTTAACTTCATTTAATGGTTATGAGCTGGCATTAAGAAATTTAACCAATCAAATAAAGCGCTATGTTAAATGTATTGTTAATAATGAATTATATGTCGAAAATTTTACTGAAATTATGTTTATAAAATGAAATTAATTAAAAGTTTAAAAAGAAAAAAAGATTTATATTTTAATAAAAATGGCGAAAAGGGTTTGGAAACAATTTTTGATAGGGCCATCACATAGATCAAACGCGCTGTATCGTGATTGGGGAATAGATATGACACAGCAGAATAAATAAAATACGATCGTCACTCGAAAAGAAATAGATCTTGTTCTTCGTTACATAGTTGTTCATAGACATTTTTAGATTAAATCAATAATGTTCTTCTCTGTGGTGCTATTAGCCTTTGGTATCATTGCGTCTGTTAATGGATTTTATAGTTCAAGTGATGATGTTATTCAACTTGACCCATCAAATTTTGATCGTCTCGTTATGCAAAGTTCTGATGTATGGTTTGTTGAATTTTATGCATCATGGTGTGGTCGTAAGTATTTAATTAATAAGAATACTTTTTTTCGATTGAATTGTTATTTAGATTGTCAAAGTTTGGCACCTGAATGGAAACGTGCTGCAACAGCATTGAAAGGCATTGTTAAGATTGGTGCTGTCGATGCTGATGCGCATAAATCACTTGGACAACAATATGGTGTATCAGGTTTCCCAACAATTAAAATATTTGGAACAAATAAACGATCACCAACAGATTATCAAGGTGGACGAACAGCTGATGGTATCGTTGAACAAGCTCTTAGTCAATTGAGAACTATTGTTAACGAACGTTTGGGTAAACGAGGAGGAGGAAGCAGTGGTGGAAGCAGTGGAAAAGATACAATTGATTTAACAGATAGTAACTTTCAGGTAATTTATCTTAGTTTTATAATAAAAAAAATCATTTGATATATTTTTTTTTTGACTTTTAGTCAACTGTTCTTGATTCGGAAGATGCATGGCTCGTTGAATTTAGTGAGTATTTTATTTGAAAAGTATAATATTCGTCTATTGTGAAAATGATCAATCTTTCATATTGGTAGAGTTACAAAGCGACTTGAATGACGAAAACTGATAGAGTTTAGTCCCATTTTCAATATTGAAATAGTGTCACAAATCAGAAATTACACTATATGAGCGACTCAATTCGAATTCTATAACTAACAAAATTGATTTTGAGTATCTGAAAAAAATGATATTTGATATTAAATATATTCTTGTATAGAAATAAGGTTTGACGAATTTATGGATTATAATAGACAGTAACTCGGAATACTGCTAGCAAAGTCTGGAGTTCAGATTCGCAATACGTTCGTCCATTCGTTCGAGTTTGACTTGATAATGTTGAAAACAAACAATTTAAAATTTGTTGTTTTATTCTTCGTCTTCTCTTTCTCTTATTGATTTATTTTTTTCTTGTTATTGACAACACTAAAGAAGATGCTTTGGTGATATAATTAAAAAAAAACATCAATGAATCAATCTTGATATTTTTATAAGATAAATGTTTTCGCTCGGAGAAAACTAATCAACATAATTAAAAATAATCTTTATGACACTGGAAGGATTCGAATACTTGATTACACAAAGATTTATTCAAAAAAAAAAGAAATTTACAATAATTATTACATAAATGATAGATCTCACTTTATCCATGTCCTTGAACATCTTAAGATTAAAGCAATTAGTAAAAAAGAATATGTGTGTTTCTATTTTCAATCTATTGTATAACAATTTTAAACATTTTTGTGTCTTCTTTTTTTTAGTGGCTCCATGGTGTGGTCGTAAGTACATACACTAATGATTTCCAAATTTTATTTTTTTTTATGTTCTTTTTTACAGACTGCAAGAATTTAGCACCTGAATGGGCTCGTGCTGCAACAGAATTAAAAGGTAAAGTTAAATTAGGTGTTGTGGATGCAACTGTTCATACTCAATTGGCTCAACGATATGGAGTACAAGGCTTTCCAACTATAAAATTCTTTCCAGCCGGTAAAAAGGATGGTCATGCTGAAGATTATAATGGTGGACGAAGTGCAAGTGTATGAATTTACTTATTTTTCTTATATAAATTTAAAAAAAAGTCCATTTGTTTTTTATTCAATAGGATATTGTTGCTTGGGCTATGGATAAACATCAAACAAATATTCCTCCACCTGATGTATTTGAAATAACTAGCCAAGCTGTTTTAGATAGCAATTGTGCTGAAAAACAATTGTGTATAATATCATTTCTACCATATTTACTTGATTGCCAGTCAGATTGTCGTAATGGACATATAAGAATGTTAAAAAAATTCGGTGAAAATTATAAACGTAATGGTTGGGGTTGGTTATGGGTTGAAGCATTTCGTCAACCAAAACTTGAAGAAAGTGTTGGTATTGGTGGTTTTGGTTATCCAGCACAAGTTGCAATTAATGCACGTAAAGGAAAATATGTTGTATTAAAAGGTGCATTTAGTGAAACGGGTATTAGTGCCTTTTTAAAAGAATTATCAACTGGTCGTTTAACAAGTCCGCTTGTACCATTAAGTGGTGTTGCAGATGGCAAATTACCAACTATTGTTGATAGTGAACCATGGGATGGTAAAGATGGAGAATTAGTTGATGTTGAAGACATTGATCTTAGTGATATTAGTTTGGATGATGATGATGATGTTGATATGAAAAAGAAAAAAGTTGATTTGTAATTAATTATTTATATTTGTATAAACAACCACAACGCAACGGAAATGACACATATATACTCATATAATTGACATTCCCTGGGTGTTTGTTATTGTTAGTCTTTTTTTCTGTTTTTTTATATGTGTATGTCGTTCAATTTAAACTTGTTACGTTTTTTTTTGCATATCTAACATAGGTTAATAAAAAACAACATAGCACTGAAATAGAACTATATGTCTTGTCGTTTTTAGTTTAATCATCATGAATTTTCGGGTTAATAAAACCTAATTGATAACAATGAGATATTCGTTTTTTTCCGTCCTAGTTTTTTTCTGTTTTACCATACGACACTATGTACTTTGCCCTATAGGCTTGTATTCTCTTTTTTTCTTTTTCTCTCCTTAGTGCAGTATATTTTTTCTCTTTCGTTCTTTCTTTCACCCGAGTCGATAAATCATAAAGCTTTCTTTTTCTCGTCAGGTCTTGATAGTAGCGTTGTTTCTCCTTATGTAAGAGAGTTTGTGTAGGCTTAGGCATGTGCAGTGTGAAGAGAAACTCTTTGTTTTTCTAGCTAACCTTTTGTAATATCATTTTTATTATTATCATTCTGCCGACAAAATATTTATTCAAAAATGTAGGTTCTTATATTTTTAATGATTTCTAATAGTTCCATTATATATTCTTATATATGTTGATAGTTGATCATAAAATAAACAAATATTATCTACCTGTTCGAACTTCTAATTATATATAATATTTTTTTGGGTCTGTTGGTAACGTTATACATATATATGTATATGAAGTATCGATCACTTTTTTTTTCATAAATGGTTACGGTGATCATAACGATGACAACCACCATGTAATTCTGTTTTTTTGAATAGAAGAAGCAAAATAGCAAGAAGAATTATATAACTTATAGTGATACGACAGAGCATATGAGTATTCTGTCAACAGTCAGCACGTTGTGCCAAGCACTACTACGTTCTATTTATTGATGCATAGTATCACAAACAATGAAAAAACCATATTAGTTTGAAGAAAAAATCGTTCTTATTTAGATAAAAAAATACAAAACAGGAAAATATATTTATTGATATTTTAGATCTGTTTCTATGTACTCATTATCCATCGTTCGCGTTTAGATTTCTGTCTAATCGGTGCGATCATTATCGAGCCAATCATCAAATCTTCAGGTCAGTATACATTCGTTTATCTTAGATTATTCAGTCGATAGTTGTCCAAATTTATATGTAACAACTTGATGTTAGTCGATCATCCGAGATGAGACACTAGATGTCAAATTAGCTCGATTATAATATCAATTATTATTACCCAACGCTTTTGATTTATATAGACACATGCAGATGTTTCGAATATTTTTATGGTAGGAAGCTCGTTATGTACGCATAATTTTTGGAAAAATACTATACATCGACGAATACCATAGTATTGATAGCGTCTTCCACTGATTCATATTTATTTATTCTACTCTCAATTGTTCTTCTGCTGTTGCACACACACACTCATAATAAAGAAGTGTATTTGTACTTGTTAATAAGATGTCTTATTTTGAGTTGAAGAGATCTTAATTTTGCACGTAGTAAATATCTATTACTTGTTAAACGTCCTGAAATGATTGAAATTATCCTAATGCGTCCTATTTTTCGTTTGCAGACGTAAAAGTAATCTGCATTATAATATACTTTAAAGCGTCGGGTACACTTCACAATTCGTTGTGTGGCTAATGCGTTTTATTACTTTTCATGTTCAATTCAGTAATATATTTATGATTACTAATGAATTTTCTTTTTCAAATTAAAATTGAATTGATACAGAATGTTACAATTGCATAAGTTATAATCAAATAACAGGAACGAAAAGAAAGAGTGAGAAAAAAAACACTTGAAAAAAAAAATAATAAGTGTCTTTTTTTATGACTATATGAAACAAATCTTAAGAAATTTCATTTCGTTTCTTTTTTCTGTAGGTAGCTAACTGTCGATGTCCAAAGTTCTTTCAAGGTTTGTTTGTTTGAATATTATAAAAATCATTTTTTTTTTATTAATTAAATTAATTTAGATAAATAAAATATTAATCATGCAATCATTGGCTATATATGCACGATTAGTTGCACGTGCTGTTAGTGGCACTGAAGCTGAAAACTTTTTATATAATAGTTTATTACGTTTATCAACATCGTCGTCTATTCATTATTCTCAATCTCCCAATCGTCCAGCTATATCATCATCACCGGCAATAACACGTGCTGTACATCTAGTCACTGCTACATCGGGTTATTCAGGTCATGATGATGATGAAGATGAAAAAGGACATTTAGAAAAGAAAAAGAATTCACCAAAAATACAACGAACAAATCGATCGAATGTGTATGGTGATGATGCATTTTTTATAGCCAAAAACCGTATAGGAGATTTTCTTGGTAGAAAAATTTTCTTTCTTCCAATAAATAAGATTTTGCATTCTTTTTAAATTTAGGTGTTGCTGATGGTGTTGGTGGTTGGCGAGAATATGGTGTTGATCCATCTTTATTTTCAAGTTCTCTTATGGAAGCATGTAAATCATTGGTTGATAATAAACTTCTTGATTTAAATCCTTTAACCTTGAAAGAATTACTTTCCAAAGGTTATAAACAATTATTAGAAGATAAGCAATGTATTATTGGTAAACAAAATCTGAAGAAAAAGTCTTTTTGATAACATTTAATTTTGTTTTTCTCTAGGTAGTAGTACCGCATGTATTATTGCATTACATAAAGAAAAAGGTATTTTACATACAGCAAATTTAGGTGATAGTGGATTTGTTGTTATAAGAAAAAATACTATCGTACATCGATCACAAGAACAACAACATTATTTTAACTCACCATTCCAGTTAGCTATTCATCCGACAATTAAAGATCCAAATTTAATTGCTGACAGGTGAGCATAGTATTCTTTTTGTTGATAAATATTGTAGTTTTTAAGCTTTTAAGAATTGAATATATAAGGGTAAAAATAATTTTTTTAAGTTTATTTTTGCATTTAAAATTTCATAAAAAAGTAAGAAATAAAATATTAATTTTCATCTATTTAGTCCTGATGTAGCATCGGTTACGTCATTTAATGTTGACGAAAATGATTTTATTGTTATTGCTACTGATGGTCTATGGGATAATTTACCAGATTCAACTATACTTGAAGAAATTAAAAAGATTAAAGTAAGTTTATTTGCTTGGAAAAATTTGACAAGAAGAAAATATCATCAAATGATGAAATAACATCCCTAAGTGATTTTAATCAAAGCTTGTATGTTTCAAGTAATTGTTGATGGTTATTCGTTTATTTTTTTTTAATGAATCTTGTGTCGTTGTATAAAATCAAAGAAAACATATGAAAACTAAATAATACCCAACATTGATACAGTGTTTATTTTTATCAGTATTGTGTGCTGATACTATGAATGATGTGTTTGAATTGTGGTCTAATGCGTTAGTTTTTTACTATATCAAGGCTAAAGGTGTACATTGAATGTCTGACATTCATTAGTAATTTGATATCAATACTAAATTTCACTTACGCTGTCTTTATTATTAATTGACTCATCAGAAGAGTGTTATATTGCAGAATGGAATTCTAATCATATAAATACAAACAAAAAAAGAAACATATTACTGTGTAATGAATCTTTTGATAATAAAAAAACTATGTTTATTCTAGGAACCAACATTGGATAATTTACAACAAACTGCACATGCCTTAGCTAAACGAGCATTGGAAAATGGACATGATCCCAATTTCTATTCACCATTCGCTAAAAGTGCTAGAAGATCATTAGGCATCAATATTTGTGGTACGTTATATTTATTACAAATAGAATTTGAAATACAGTTTGGTAAACATTAGCATTTCTGAGCACTTCTAAACAATAAAACTGATGCATTTATATTCAAATTGCAAAAAAGTTCTATTCACACTAATTCTTTACTCTTAGCTGGCAAACATGGATTTTATTTGTTGACAAAATTTTATATCTTATATAGCATATGAGAAAAAGAAAGAAAAGTCTATAAATAGAGGATAAACAACTAAGAAAACATATAAATTGTATAAGTTTTAATTTAATTTTTTTTCTAGGTGGAAAACCTGATGATGTCACAGTGTTACTTGCTGTTGTAACATCTACAGGTTGATCAATCTTCAACGAATGCTAAACGTGGTGCTATATGTTCTCTTCTTGTTAAATCTAGTCGCAAATAACCAGAAATAAACATGTCTGTAGCATATACGTTTAGAATCCGAATTTTATGAATGTTATTACATCATAAAGTTTTCTGTAATTGCCTCTATAGCCAATTTATTATGGCAATTGATTTTTTGTTATTGTTCATTTTCTTTGTCTTCTCATGCAAACTTACCCGGCGCGTACTGTGTATGTAGTTCGGAGATCGTTGATTGTTATCCATTCTTTTTTTTCTAGTTTTCTCATTCTCATCATTCAAAGAAAAGCAAAAACAAATAATAGAGTTGATCATTTATAGACTTGTTAAATCGATCTGAAGAATCTATTAAGCTTTGGTCAACAAACTTGGACGATTTACTAGCGAGAGCACTTAATTACTCACAGCACGATTTCATAATCAAAAAACAATTATTATCAGATAATTTTCAAGATAAATTTCGATGAACAATTTCAGATGAAAATACAAGTTCAATTGGCATTCAATGTTTAGTAATAAATCATTTTGAAAGAAGATATCTCTTCGCATTGATTATCAGTGATAATCAAGAAATACTTTTAATCGAGAATGAATCAAATTTATCATATATGTTTATATTAGCACATATCGGCAACCATGTATCGAAAAATGAACCCAAAATTTTGAAACCTTTATTTCAGATCCAGCTATCTGTTGAATTTTTAGTTAAATTTTGTAAACAATTGGTTTAAGAACTCGAGTAATTTTCATTATAAATAATAATATGTAGACTTTTCAAAATACTTTGAAATTGATGATTAAGAACAGCCGAATAATAGAAATAATTCTTCAAGTAAACCATTATTAACCCTTTACTCCTCCCCCCCCCAATGGGTCATATATGATCCATTTATAGAACGATCACAGAAAATAAAGGAAGCATGAGACTGAAAAACTCCCGAGACATTATTTGTAGGAAACTTCACAAGGTATCGATTGGTAAAAAGAATATTTTGTTTCGTCGCTCTGCCTTCAAGATATATGACTTACAAAATCAATAGTTTTGAAAAGAATGTAAAAAGTCGAAATTTTTTAAACAAAATGTTTTCCACTTGCAGTCGATAGAGGTCTTTTGGAATTTCTGTGTGATATTAATCGATGAAGAAGTCCACTGCTGAATTAGATATGTTTCGACAGTTTCATGATAACTCCGCGAATTATGCGTACTAAGGAATACAATTGATCATGTAGTCACTGTTAGACATATGGAGGGTAATCAAGAGCAAAGTTAATATATGCGTTATAGATCTCAACTCATGGGAAATCGAAATAGTATTTATGATGAATTAAATTCCTTCAGACATTACAAAATGGCTCAGAGTAAAATAGGCTTAAATTTGACAATAGGTGTAAAAAAAGTATACATTCTTTTATGTTAATTTTTATCGGTTCACTCGTTACGTTTTTCCTATCACTTCAACAGTACCAGATAGATGCTGCTTCTACTCAGTCAATAATGTGATCAAAGAAAAAAGAATTAAGCCTTATGATGCCGTTCAATTCTCATATTTCACCACATGTTTTTTATATCAATAAAATCGCCCTACTCCAGAAACAGAACATTCGGTGGATTAGATCATACCATTAGCATATTCGGCAGGCTAATACTCTATTTATAAAGTTATTTTATCAGTAGCTCTTCTGGAACCGCTATGGGGAGTAAAGGATTAAACATACAATAAAAATGCAATATTTCGATAATAATAAGCTAGCAACACGAAATTTTTTCATAGATCATTAGGACCTACATGATGTTCATACGCTCATCTCAATAGTGATGTGACAGTTGGGAATGATCCCTCGTCAGTATAATCTCATTAAACACAAAATCAGATCAAATATTAATTCACAAAGAAAATGCAGTTAATAATCTATAAGTACAAGTGTATGAATGGATAATTAAAAATGTTCAAGTTTTTTTTTATCAACAAGTTATACAAAATATTCTTGCAAAAATCAACTGAATATGCTATAATTGATTAAAGATAATTATAATTTATATTAATATTTTGTTTTTTTTTCTCGCTATAGTCGAATATCCTCTGATTGTTTTAAACATCATATAAAATTT